CTATCTTAAACTACATAAATAATAAGTACTACTGAAGAATTCTATGTTGAAATGAAACGATCATCTAATCCCCTTTAGTTTTCATTGATTATATAACTAAAATCTCTAATCATTAGTTTAATCATTTCTTCTCAACCCTAATTTATGAAAACTAACACATTAGAATTTTAATGACAAAAATGATATAGAATTTCTTCATTTAATAACGTAAAGTATGTATTACACGTTACTTAACAATTAAACTACATTACAATGAAAACAAAGATATATATTTAGTCGTTGAAATCATGAGTCTATTGCAGCTAGATCACCATGGAAAATCTGGGAGTATTGGACTGCCGTTTCATCCTAGTATGGGACTCCTCAGCAATGTGCACCTACGATCCCGCACCCCGCGAGATTCGAACCCACGACGTAACAGTCTCGCGCACGAGCGATTAACCACTAGACCACTGAGCCGACCAGCATCCAACGGTGTTAATGTCTAACTTAAACTTTTCCACAAAATAGCGCCACCACAAACCATTGTCTTTAGTGAGCTGATATCTCACAACAGACCTGGTTGAACTTCACTAGTAACGACTTCTCACTAAAACTCCAAGAAATGCCTCTTAAAGTCATTCACATGTTTTCCATAGTGGTCTAGCTTCAACTGATTCATGATTTCAATTATTGAAATTATTAAAATCTCCATAAAACCCCCTTCTGATCTATTTAATCACTAATTATTTATATCCCCATAGAACACAAATGTTATTTTACTCTAATATAAATAATATTGTAAACAAACTATAATTGACATATGATTTAATTAATCAAATGTAACAAGGTATTGTAATGAAATTTCATTATTAAACAATGTTTGTAGGTTGAAATGGGTCACAGGATAATCTCTTAGATATTACAATACTTTATGTCATTATTATTGAAATAATGTATTTTAGATTTTTATATTTATATATCAATGAGATGAAATGAAGTGTCCTGAATACTGGAAATCAATATTTAATGTACTGACCGATGAAAGGAGTAATTCGTTTAGTCTAAAGAACATTATTAGTTATTGATAAAACTACCTATGTAATTAGTTAATATTGTTCTATGATAAATGTATTGTGTGAACATAAAGATCTAAGCGGTTTCAGTGATATGTTTAAGTAAGAAATAACAATATATATTCAGTCATGAATGTTAACACCTAGTCTTTAGTTCTTTGGTTTAAATGGTAAATTATATTTTCTCTGATGTTTAGGCAAATACAAGGATCGGTTTATTTTTTTTCTCGATGACATGAGTTTAAATTCCATGGGAATAATCATCCCATTTAGTTTTAAAACTCAATGAAAATACTGACATTAGTTATTACGAAGATCAAGTTCTTGAACTTCTTTCGATTGCTTTCAGTTGTCTAACATCAAGAAACTGTGTATTATGAGACCAAAACATGTAACCAAGGTTATACATTATAATTGATTATTAAAAATCCATCATTATTAAGGATTAGATACTATGGAATGGGTTACTTTGTTATACTTTCAGAAGACACCGAAATGCATAAATCTTTGGATTCATGTTGTATCAACCTGTAAATAGTCTTTATTCACGTCAACAAGGTATATTAATACATAACTTGATAGTTTCTATTATCAGATCTTGAGCTTTGTTTACTTGTTTACTTTTTTTACTTTCATAATTAGGATTTTGATTTGCTTAAATGATTGTTAGACAAGATCAATCTCATCAGTAGGTTACCTATGTAGTGAGTCATGATAATTTGAAGTAGTGTGTTAATTTGTTCCAGTTTCAGTGGCTACACTTAATGAATATGTTCACATTGTCATAATTTTTAACGCTGTAGTAAAACATCATTTATCGTTAAAGAAAATTCAATTGAATAATAGTCGACAGAAAAAGATCTATCTGGAATAGCGATGTGAAGGTAAAAAAAACTCAGGACCCTGTGTAAACACTTTATTGGTTTTAGCTAAATCACTTAGAATTTGCAAATGTGGATTTGTTCTGTTCATTAAACTCTTCATAGCACGTTGTAACTGGGCTACATGAATTATTTGAACAAGTGATAGTTTAATGACACTTAATAAGATCCTACACCTAATCAAGCGATAGACAGATCTTTATTTGACTATTCCACGATTCTCAAGAGTTCTGTCGTAAAGAAATCCGTTAACGAACTCAGTGACACTTTTTTTATTCTGTCTGTTTCCATTGAACATATTATTCATACAATAAAATGAAACATAATATCCCATTGTATATATTTGTTTATCCATCTAGATAGTTAAAGATTGCAAGTTTTAATAACTCAGTATATTCCTAGAATAATCATGACCTCTTGAAAATAAATATAGGTAAAACAATCATCATTCTCTGAAAGACAAATAGGTTATCATTCTGACTTCATTTTAAAACTTATGAAATGAAGTCAACTAAACACTAAATAACAAACTCGATTATCTTACCTCCTGTACTGTGGTTCAATAAGTCGTTGTTAATGAATACGACGCTTTCACCACATTTTTACTTTCATCATTTAGTCTGTAGTGTATGAGACACAGGTGGGAACAGCTAATTTATTGTTCGATACAAAATTACAGGATCTTTTCATAAAATATGAGAACTATACATTAAATACTTCGTTCACAAATCCTTCATCAATTGTCCTTCACATTCTATACAATCCATCCAATTCACAATTCCTTTGTATTCCCCTTTTTGTGATCTCCAACTCAATCTTCTTAGCCTTCTACTGCCAGCCATTCAACTTTAATTGGTGTTACATACTATTTATGTTTGTCGACATAAGTCGCACACACCACAACTCTCCATGCTTCTTCAATGTAATGTAATGCTTAAAATATATTTCAATTCAATATTTTCTAAGAAAATCAAAATCATCTCATTTACAAAACATGTGGAGGTGATTACTGTTGACCTAATTTGTAAACCTTTTTATCATGTTGCACGTTTCCTACAACTTCTTTAATCTTTAGAATTATTATCATTAACTAAGAAAACGTTGGATCGATATTGAATTTTCCCGTACACCCTCAATGATTAACATTCACTGAATGTAAGTGCTGCATATGCAACATTTCGTTTTCTCTCAGTTTGGTACAACATCAACAGATCTCTAATATACTTTTACATACATTTAGAACTTGTGGATCTCAACCACATCTTGATCATTGATTGGTCATCATCTTGGAGTGCATTCCATATTTTGAATTGAAAGTCTTCTTTCATAATTTGTACCTTGTGAACGCGTAACTACTGATTATTTGCAAGTAATCTCTGCATAACTTACCTGTATTTGTTTTGTGGAATATTAATTCCTTTTTACCATTTTACCCCCTGAGTAGCGTCACAATTATTCAAATACTTGTATTACGGTCCACAACAAGCATCAAACTTTGACTTAAATCAAGTTATTCAGATGAATAAGTTCTTAATTCAAATTTAAATAAATCCTAATATATCCCCCATTGAGATAAGAATACAATTGATTTCTCACTATAGCTTTACATTACAATAAAGTATGAAGTCAATACTAAATAGATAATGGTCGGTCAGTTTAAGGATGGATTTCAACATTTTCTCTAGAGATATTAGTCAACTCAACAGATTCAAAGTCTAGAGTAAAGAGAAATTATATAGTCAGCTAATTATTGAAGCTGGTCACATACGAATAAGGAAACAAAATTGAGTAGTTTTGAAACTAAGCAACTGAATATTAATATTTAGTGTTATTCATGAAGATAATTCCAAGAAAATTATATGATCATATAAAGGCAGATTACACAAGAATAAAATTAGAATTGAATAAGATCAAAAAAGAGCTTAAACTACATATACATAATTATGCAGAAGGTCAGGGTAAGTTAAACTGCTGTACAAATTTCTCCTGTGCACAAAAATTCAATTTATTTCAATGTATTCCAATAACACTTATTATATGTAATAGATGAATCATGTAAGCATGGAACAAGTCTATGGGAAATATTGAAAGTTAACTTTTTTTGTTGAGGTGACAAGTATCGACTAGTTGCTTCATAGCAGAAGTTCTTACTGTTTTCTTTTATAATAGATCTATTTTCTCAAACTGCAAATGTTTTCGATTCGGTAATCCTTCCCAGAAAGTTAGACACTACTACTCATGTTAAATGTGTACATCCCAGCATAAATGTAGATGATTTCACTTAATTTCCCTCGATTGAATATGTTTATAACTCGTAACCATTATATCAATTTGTTATTTTAAAAGATCTCACTTTAAATTCTGTTGAGGTGATACACAACACTTCTAATATTCGATAATCCTACTGTATGCGATACTATTAGTTATTTTTATGCTCATTTAATAGGTAAGTGATGCAAAGTACCGTGTAATTTTCATTGCAGACATATTTATTGAACCATTAAAATGCTACAGATAACCTTAAGTTTGAATTATTATAAAACTTTTATACTATGAAGTGAAAAATGATAGACACCGTTTAATCCATATTGTAAACTATAAGGATAAAGAAATTAATTCACATTTATATCATTTGGACTATTCTAACATTTTGATATCTAGTTCACTGATCATATGAGGTTACAGAATATTCGATTAGTTGTTATTGGTCTTATCGATTATTACCAACAATGACTTTACTTAAACACGAACGAAAAACGTGATAGGCTTATAGAAGATATTGAAAAAGTAAAGTATATTAGAACTATATGATTATATTGTTGAAGTAAATGTGATATATAAATAAGAACTTTCGTCTAAATTTAAACGAATAGTTTCACAATATTTGGGCGCCGAGTTCATTTGAGACATTAAAAAGAAGAATATATTTGTAAAATCTCAGCGAATGAATTTTAAGTAAATCCAACGTTTCGCCTGGCTGATATATGTACAAATAAACTATGCTGTATCAAATGAAATCATGATAATTAGGAATGTCATTTAAAATAGAATAATTAGAATCATTCTATTCATTTAATGTTAATTTATCGAATAGATATTCTCCAAGTCCTTTACCAACTCGTTGTGTTTCTGTTAAATAATCAGCAAATTGTTTAATTGCATCTTCTTGTTCATGAAGAAATTCACTTTCAATAAAATCTGTTAATCCTGGATCATTGTTCCTTGAAGCTACTTCATGGAGTTCTAATAATGACTGAGAGAAAAAAGTAATAAAATAATTACTGAATAATTGGTTTTGTAAAATAAAAAAAATGACGAATTTTGAAAGTTAGTCACTCGAGTTCCATAGGGAAATTGATACCAGTGAAGTTTAACCTTGTCAGGCGTGAAATAAGTATCACTAGTGGTATTGAATAAGGATTTAGAAATAAATGAAGTTAAATAACCAAGCGATTGGTAATCACTCATTTATCTAAAGGTTGAGTGATTGTAGCGATACCTTAAGGTCCTGGGTTTGGATAAGCCCCAGCGACTCCCAAACTAAGAGTAAACAGCTATCTAACGTTTCCTAGTTTTGAGTGGTTGTCTAAATAAGGTCGATACGTAATAAAAACTACATACTAAATGTATGCGTTGTGTTCTCGATGTGTTCTCGATGTGTAATCGAGATGAAGTGTCTAAAAAATATGTTGGTCAACTCCGTATAATTTTTTATGAAATAACCATGTGCAAACGATGAATATCAGTGCTATTCTACATGACCTCGTTTTGGTATAGGGGAGAGTTCCATATTAAACTACGTACGAATACGTAGCTGGAAATTGGTTTAATATGAAAACGATATTTATTCAGAGTAGCATATAATTAACTTTCAGCAGACAGAGTACACCTGACTATCTCTAGGGTATTGTTAACTTAACAACCCAATGTTTAACAATACCCAAAAAATATTTTTATCTGTTAGGATTTCATCTTTTAAGAGATAACCAATGACATTAAAATGATGAAACAGTAGGATATTGTGCAATCATGTGAGTTTAGATTGTGTGGTTAATACAACAAATCAACCCAAATAATCCATATGACCAATAACTACCAACTAAAACTGAAATATTGACGCGAAACCACAGTAAACAGACATTAAAATACAAGAAACTTAGTGATCAAACTGAATAGTTTTATGGAGAATTACAAACTTATTGAGAACGTAATTGACTATAGAACCTAAATTTTGCTGACTATTTACAACACCACGGAATAGAAATCTAACTGGAGTACTAACTGATGATTCACTGTGTAACTAAATTTTTTTAACGTAAACATGTAAGTCATTTCATTAAAAACGAGTTATAAAATAGAATCTAATGTGGTTCATATTTACAGTAGAACACAATACCCATAATTGAAACAGTCGTCCACTATGCATATAAATACAGTCAATGAATTACATCTTACAAGATTAGAAAAACAATCGACAGATAGACACCATACAACCTTAAATAAATTAATTAAAGATATAGCTTCAATATGGTTAAGTACATTATCACCCTTAATGTATTTTATCCATCAGTGGATTTAAGTTTTCTTTATCTGAATATTATTTGAGCTATATCTCATGTTCAGTTATATTTCTGTAAAATAACAGAATTTTTAAATGTGTCAAGCCAAACTAATCAAGATATCCTACACAATTCAAACAACTGAAAACTACTTGCTATTTGATAAATATTCGTAGAGAACAATTAATTTAAATATAAAGGAGTAAACAATTACTTCTGTAACAGATAAACAGTAAAAATAAACGATTAGTATGGGGTAAGTTACTCCAATGTCATGGATTAATCATCAAGTTAACATGCTCTCTGCTGGTAGTTTTTCGGTTCGTTTTGATGAATAAACTATCACTTAGTACTTATAAGGCTTAAAATTAGTGAAAATACTGACATATAAGTGGCATAATGCAGTGATTATGGATTGGTTCAAAGAAACACGAAGTAGCATATTTCGATGCAATCTCTCCTAAATTTAGTTCTGACGGTAGAATCCAGGTTAACACTAAGATCTAGTCAGGACTATATTTTACAGAATGTATAAACTAACCCTAAATCCTATGTCAGAACCTAGATCCCACTTCTGAACTATGTATTTAAACCATACATATATAACTTAAGAAAGTTCAATAGTCATGTGAAACCAATAAATCCCTAGTAGGTTCTTTTGTTTTTTATTCATCATAAATTGAACATTCATATTTTCTGTCTTCTAATTCATGGTATCAGGTCAACACCTCATGGTTGTTCAGCCGGTTTCTTAATGTCCACACAAATAAACCAATTTAAAAAGTAGCTTAATTGTTGAAAAAAAGTCATCAAGAAGTAATTAATGTTTGGACTTACATTACTAACTGCTTTTTCCATTCCAAGGGCGGTATTCATAGCATCCTCCAAACCACTGAATTCTGTCTTAGTTGGACACTTGATGTCACTGTATTGAACACGACCACCACGTTTGTTCTGATACTTGGCCAATTTCTCTGCATGTTCACGTTCTTCATGTGAAGCTTTTCGAAAGAATTCAGCTGCTTTCGGAAATGATACATCATCTCGATCGAAATAAGTGAAGAATGCCATATAATCATAAGCAGCTTGCAATTCCACATTGATTTGTTTATTGATAGCATCTTCACATTCTTTGGCAAAATTATGTTTAGCTCTTGATCCACTCATGGTTTCAAACTTTTTTTTTTTAATTTTATTTAGTTTCCTAGATCGTTTACTAAAGTCTTTCGTCTAATCTAACACTCACTAATCTAACAATTGACTAAAACTGATTTAATCCAAATTTGTTCAGTCCTTTTATTGATTTCGATACAGACACATATACTGCATAACAATATATAGGAACTGTTAAATCTATGAAATAAACACATATTTCCTAAATAATAATAATAATATTAGGATTGAATAATTAAACAAATGCTTTCCATTTGTTTGGAATACCTGTTTGTACACTAACTAACTATTTTATGCTATTTAGATTGGTTGATATTAATCTCTATAATATTTGGTCTACTTTCATACAAATTTCATACAATTTTTTTTTTTTAAAATCGTTTCTTTATTGGTTATTTTGTATCCATGCCGATTTTATAGTTTCATAAGATTAAAACGTGAAATTATTTTCCTAACAGTGAAATCATCGTTAAATTAGAGTAGTACAATATGAAGTACACCAGTATGTATAAAACTGTATGATAGTGACTAATGTTTATGATCAATTCGTCATAACAATGTGATTTATTAAGAAGAATAGAATATCGGAGTTTTTTTGTTTAAAAAAAAAGATAGTTTAAAAGTTTAAGTTAGTCACCTCTAGTTGACTTTGATGAATGATGAAAGTGTGATCGTATATGATTTAAGTTATATCGAATTTTAATCGTTGAGATCATGAGTCAACTGAAGCTAGACCATCATGGAAAATCTGGAAGTATTGGACAGCCGTTTCGTTCCGTTGTAGGACTCCTCAGCAGTGCTCATCCATGATCCCGCCTCGTGAGATTCAAATTATTTAATTGGATAAAATTAAATGAAATGTTTATTACTATTACTAGAATAATGAAAGACGTTTTAGTCAAAATTGTTCTGTAGCATTGTTTAATTCTTTAATGGTATTATTGTAGTGAAGGAGAACACACGTTACACAAATTACAGAGTTACTTGCTAAAATAGAAAAACCATATCGTCAATCGTTAATTTGCAAAATATCATTCCATCATATCAAACCGGACTGTTGCTGTTGCAAACACCAATCCATTGTCTCACATTTCATTGTTCATGCGATTTTTTACAAATTCCATTGTGTTCTCGCTCTTCCTTTCTGGATCTTCCCCATGTTCTGCTGCCAGACATTTCGTTCTTTTAACTCACGTTATATACTACTTATATCAATATAAGTAGCACGCACCACATTATTATTGTTGACTTTATTCAGTACTATATTCACTACTATATTCAGTACTACTATTCGGTACAATATAGAATTCTTAGCACACAGTATTTCAACAAGTTTCCAATTCTTATTTTTTGATCGACTTTAGCGATAATTATTGAGTGGTCGCCAGTTAGATGTTAGTAGTTCAGGAATAGACATCTGATTAATGTATATTTTTTTCGATGCATATTGCCAACAACCAAGATATCTGTGATCGGGCTTTTTTGTGGCTTGCACAGAGAAATGTTTTAAATTTTTTTCACAAACGCACCTGAATAATTTATGGGACCAATAAGCATAATGATGTGTTAAAACAAACAAGAAAACAGATAACTTATTTAAATATCCAGATGGCAGGAACAGGTGACCCGAATATTTAAGCAAGCCACTTTACGGTAATCGAAAGAATAGTTCTATTTTGGTTCCTACCTTTCTATTTTACGTGGTAATCGTAAATTCTTGTATGAAATTTACACATACATTGTTAAACAGAATCATTGTTTTACACTCAAAGTGTAGCATATTAAATCATACATCTCGATTTTCTAATTGATATCTCATATTGTATTAATAACTCTCTACTAGGTTCATGTTCGTTTAAGTATCTGAAGTGAAAAAGAACTAATATGGATGAGCTTTACAAAAAAGCACCATGAAGTCATGATACCTTATTTTATTGAAGCATTAAATGAAGCAAAAAGGAAATAATTATCATCAAATATTTAATATCAGATGCGTTTTGTGGATATTATAGTAATTTCGTGGATTAGTTGAAGTTAGACATTAACACTGTTGAACACCGGCTCAATGGTCTAGTGAGTAAGTGCTCACGCGCGAAACCATTACGTCCTGGGTTCGAATCTCGCGGGAGGGGGCGGGGTCGTGGATGCGCACTGCTGAGGAGTCTCGCAATAGGATGAAACGGCCGTCCAGTGCTTCCAGGTTTTCCATAGTGGTTTAGCTTCAACTGACTCATGATCTTAACCATTGAAATATTTAATAGTTATAAATCTACATTTGTTAAACTGTAACTTTTCCTACTTATTTTTCCACATGCTTTAAGGATTCATATTTTTTAAAAGAGTTGAAATAACATTATTGTATATTTTTACCGAGGTTGCGTAATTTGTCAATAGTATGATCTTGAAATTATCTGCTTACATTTACTAAACCCAGTTGAATTTTCTTTTTAATTATTTCCCTTTTAAACTGATACAAGTCACATCATATTAAATCGGTACCTGCATGAGTACTATTGGTTATAGATGAAACCATTTGATTGTATCACTCTTCAGTTAAGGTGACGGCTAACTGGAACTTTGGTTAACTGCTATTATGATGTGTGCTACTTATGCGGACAGATATAAGTATTATGTATCAAGGATTGGAAGTAAGATTCTTATTGAACGAATAAGAATATGAAGAGAAAAAAAGTACAGAAGCAGTCCGAGTAACAACAGGGATATAAGAACGATGGAGTTTATAAGTGAATCTAAGGAAGATGTGCAAATGGCATATTTAATGAATCATTTTCACATTTTATAAATGCAGTGTGTGATTCAGCTTAATTCAGTAAAAACTACGTTCGTTACATAATGACTGTTACTTTAAAATTTCACTTTTGTTAATCGTTATTATCCATGACTATAGAATCTTTGTTTATATGGACAGTTTTCAAAATAATTTCACCTTAAAATTCACCATTCTTGTATAAACTTTACTGTTTCATCAATGTCTTCGTTGATTAGTAGATGTTAAGTAATTGCATTAGTATTTAACAATACATAGTGATACTAATTGCGGATAGAATACAATGGGAACATTATGACTGGCTAACATTAGAACAAATCTAACAAAAAGAACAATGAACAACATAACCTATTAAAATTTTCTAGATTTAACATTAAAAACAATAAATACTCTATTAAACAATTTAATAAAACTGATGTGAACAGAGAAACAAAGAATCCATGGTGTATAACAGTAGCTATACTAACAATTAGTTTTGTCCCTAGGTTATTCTACAAACCATTAGCTTTCGTTTGATATAGGATTCACTGCCACACCCTTTTATGTACTAAAGATATAGTAATTTAAACGTAACCTTTTGTACTCTATTCTTCTACCGTAACGCCCAGTTTGGACATCACTGTATTTTTCTAACTTTTTTTGCGTTGTGGTCATGTTAGTCATTTATTTATTCATGTATCTTTTTAATCTAGGATCGGAAATCAGGAATAAATCGACTAGTCTTCTTCCTCACTCTCTCGCTTGTTAGCCGATCATGTGATAGAATAGTTTTCATCTTTCTGCCCAAGGCCGTTAGTCTTAGTTCGGACTCACACATTTCTAGCCTCACAGTTAAATAGGTTAGATTATCGTGTCAAGGCCTTAACCTAGATCGAGACAAGTTTTCTCCTGTATATTACTGGGTAGACAGATCAAAGACGCAACAAAAGTGGCGACGAAAATTTTGTTGTTGTTTTGACTGCCCAAAAAGAAAATATCTATGTCTTTGGACAACATTACAACAATTTTACAAGTTCAGCAAGCATGGGGAGACGCAACTGAAGCAGAGATTTTGGATACACTGACACAAAAGCCTCGTCTCATTCAGCTTCGACCTCTCAACCAGATAAAATATGAAAGCATCGCAGATTTCATTCGCGAATTTAACTTTAATTCGGAATCTGGTATCGTATTCGATTTCTGGTTTTATCTATTAGAAGACATATTCCGTGTCGAATGCTAAAGTCTCGATGATAAAGCTAAATTTCTCTTACTTCATAGAAGACTTGGAACAGGTTGATATAATACATATATGGATTTCATACTGCCACAAAATCCTCGGGATTTATCTTTTAGTGGTACACTCCAAATATTACCTAAAATATTTGGAGGACATTCCTCATTGTTTGACATTCGCTATCAATGTTTTCAAATATCAAAGTCTTAATCCGATCATTATCTCACTTATTCTAGAAAAGTACATCGAGAATGTGAGCGATTCAAAATTAATGAAATTACAGCAAATCAATTTAAATGTTTGATTTTTATCTGCAGATTGAAGAATCTAACTGTTGACATCTGCATAGGAATTTTAGTGTGTAATGAACGAGAATCTAATATGACCTTACAAATGGTCACAACCGAATACCAACGTTTGTTGGATCACAAACATAACCGAGACAAGTTTTGTCCTGCAAATTTTTGGTTATATATTCCGATCATTATTTTTGAAATTTCCAGAACTATTTATTGAATGAAAATCATTTGTCGTGCCAATAAGATGAAACGTAAAGTTTAGTTTGTTCTGAAGGCATCGAACATGTATAGAAAATCCAAATATTACCTTATTGTCCTTATGAGGCATTTGGTATGCTTAAAATATCATACTTTTTATAGGAATTTAGTTTTTCTCTTTAAAGTAAGAATTTATTATTCACTTTGTTTGATATATTATTAGGTAAAATGAAACAAAAATAGATTATATTTTCTCATTATTACTAACCCATTTGAAGTGCAAAAAAGGTTATCATTGGTTTAGGAGTTTATGGTGATCATTTCGCTCGAAGATATCAATTGATACGGACTGCTATAAGATGTAGAAAGCCAAAGGGAACAAGTAAAATGTTTGATTTTAACTTGCAATACGTCAGTGTGGTGAGTAAAAGTATTTGAACTACTATACCAACTAAGAATCTTCGAAATGTTGAAATTTAAACCAAACAGAACTAGGTAAGCACAAACGAACGTAATGTATTTGGAATACAAAATCAGGTAGTCATCAAATACAAATGAATCATTAATTCCTACAAACACCACACCTTAAATGAGAATCCAAATTTTTGCAGTCTGTTGTATATCTTTTCCTTAGGTTCATCATGTGTCTGTCCGACTGTGTATTGTATGTAGACTCTGTATGATCTAGAATATACTCAATAGTATTAGAATTAACAAATGAAATTGGGTCAAACTAATGTGGTTCCTGGAATTATCTATGATCAACATGTCGGTTGTGTATTGAAATCACTGATATCTAGAATTCGAATCATGGATTTTCCAACACTATCCTCCCCCACAAACATGGTTAGATTTTCATATCCCTAGGTCATAAATGATGTGACTTCATTTAAAACATATTTCTCACATTGATTGGATGATTCATTAGAAGTGACTTCATCATAAGGATAAACAACATTTAATAAGAAATCATCCTAATTGTAATCGACATCGAACTTGTTTAGGACTCGTACTTCGCATTGAATAAGTTTCCCACAAGAAAAAGATGCATTATGAGGACAAATAATATTTCATATAACATCAAAATCTGATTTTTCTGAAATATTTCCCTCAAATTTATAAATATTTAATTGGAGAATAATGGATCATTAGAAAAGTTAGCATCTATCGAAACTGCATCGGATTTTTGATCATGATTTGATTCATTCAACATATTTTCCACAGATTCATAGGAAATATCACCAGAAATATGTGAGTCATCAGGACAAACCATAACTTGTACAACAACATGAAGTTTCTGACCAGCATTTGGTGCATTCAATATATCTTCCTTATATTTATGCTTGAAACTTACTAATTGATTCGACTTTGAATTAGACAGTATTTGCTTTTTCGGCCTCTATTCGCTTGGTGTGCTTGTAGCTTTGTAATCTCAGCTGTCTTATAATAGTTTGTTGTTGGCACTTCGTGTCGCCTTTTGAGTTCATACACCGTTAAGATCTACTTAATAATGGTTACTGCGGTTACTGAAATACAGAACTCAAGAAATTATCTCGAAGCCAAGCTACATTCTGTTCAAATATATTTAAGAAAAACAAGTATCAAAAGACTTCAAAGAATGACACCTTGTCATGATGCAAAATAAATGAGATCCTAATAAATGTGAGAACTACAGAAGCGTTGCATTTGCGTCAATGCCTGGAAGCTTATTCAACAGAATGTTACAAAACTGAAGGAAAGATTCTGTAGATGACCAACTTTTTGGCCAACAAGCTGGCTGCCGTAAGAATATGTCACTTAACTATCAAATCGCGACACTTCAGACAACTATTGATCAATTCATTGAATGGAACTCATAACCATACGTAAACTTTCTTGATTATGAGAAATCATTCGACAGGGGGCATATGAAAGCTGTAAGAAATCTTCGTCGACACTATGAAGAATTTTAGATCATCCCTATCATGTGAAGCTTTAATAAGGGACTGAATTGTAAAGTTTTGCATAGGGACAATCAACAGACCTATTTCAGGTGAAGAGTGTCGTTAGACAAGGCTAGCTACTCTCAACTTTCCACTTTCTGTTAGCTAATGACTGAGTTATGAGGACTTTCACATCTCAGGAAGTGTATGGAATACACTAGTTAGTTTGTATATAGCTGAATGTTTTGAACTTTGTAGATGTTTCAGCCCTCCTATTCCCAAACACAGCCGTGAATGCAGGTAAACATAGTCACCATGGAAGCAGCGTCTACAGAAGTGAGCCTCAGAATTTACAAGGAAAAAAGTAAGATCAGGTAGTAAAATGCAGTGAGCACCAACTAAATCACACTTGATAATGAATCTCTAGAAAAGGTGGACAACTTTATATACCTGGGCAGCATTCCTAATCAATAAGGAAGTTCCACTGCGGAATCATTGCACAGATCGGTAAAGCAAGGGGTAAATTCATTCATCTGGAGAATATCCGGAACTCAAAGTGAATGTTAACGAAGACAAAGGTCAAAGTTCTCAATACTAAAATTTAAACAGTTCTATTATATGGAGCTAAAACTGATAGAATTACCATCGACAACACCAAAGATGCACAGTTCTCTATAAACAGCTGTCGATGCAAGATACTACTGCTAAGATAACGACCGAAATTCCAATACTTAATCTAAACGCAAAACTAACGAACCAAAGTTTATTTCAGTAGATCAAACTACCGAATATTAAACATTCTTCAATTCCTCGTATTAAATTATATCCAAACACACACTGGGCCCGATTTAAACGGTCCTAATTTAAGAAAGGAAATAGAATTTATCAAAAGTACAGAATGCCTCGAACGGTATAACATATGCTAAACAGTCAAAGGTCTTCCGTGCACAAAATAACTAGCTCAACAGTAAAAGGAATGGTTGTTAAATAATTGTTCAGTAACTGAGAATTAATAAGGGAACCCCCAACAAGATGGGATCAAATATGTATCTTCAAAGATTCGAGTGACTGTTCTCAGATGACTATCAAAGGTCAACAATTATTGATCGAACCACGTCGTAACCTCGAGTTTATTCAAACATGACCCCATAGTCAATGGTCCGGCAACACACAACAGTAAAATAAAGTAACAGATATAAATCTTGAGCCGAAGTTGAATAGTAAATGCTCAGACAAAGAAGACTGAAGAAAACAAAATGTGGTTACAAGAGACCTGAGTAGAGTTTAAAATACAGGCCAGCGAAAAAGAACAACGAAATATCAATACTGTCCAATAAAATACTATGAATGGATTTTCAGCACATTCTTTCTATTACTACTACAGATCCGTTGAGCAGAAAATATATGCAATAACCTACTCTGATTGTAAACAATTCGGCTGAGGCGAATATCAAGTAAAATCTATAGAGTTGGATAAGACACTATATAAACCATTAGACTACATTACAAAACAATAGGTAACTTTGAATCATCAAGGAAAATAAAAAGTGCGAATGAAGCAAACATGACAAGAAACATTAGAGAATGACATCAAGACCATGAACACTGTTTTGTAATAACTAAATATAAGAGCTCAGAATAGTTTCTTGAAGACCTCTGGTTGACAGCTTATACTTTAAGAAGAGCAGTCAGCTTCAGTCAATAAGTAAATAAGGAAGTAAGTGGCTAAATAAGAAATATGTTGACTGGAATTCATCATTCATTTGAGTATTCGATCAGCTCAATGTTAAATAAAAACTTTGTTTAATTTATTAAAGTAAATAATGTATTTATTTATATACTACTGTTATTACTACTTTTAAGAAGAATAAACATAAAACGAGATTATTCACAATTAATTTATATTTAAGTTATTATAATTATTCGTTCAATGTTAATTGGTCAAATAAATATTCACCAAGTTGTTTCCCAACACGTTGAATTTGTGTTAAATAATCAGCAATTGTTTTAATGAATTGTTCTTTAGTTTCTAAGCATTCAGATTCAATAAATTCACATAACCCTGGATCATTGTGTTCTTCAGCTACATTATGTAATTCCAATAGGGACTGTACAAAAAAAATTTTTTAAAGTAAATAACAAAAGATGAATTAAAGTATAGTGTAAATGTTTTTTTTTAAAGAAATAATAATAATAAACAGTATGAAATAACGACGATTCATTCCTACATTGTTTGGTTACAATCTGTTATGCTCCGATAAGCATAATGAATGGTAACTTTTGGGACCCATTTATAGACCAATACTGTGCGTATATTTTTATTGTATAATTGTTAAATAACTATTCATATCCATATCTCTCTTATCATAAGCTTTATTTAAACCTATGAACTGTTATTATACGATTTTCCATTCTTGAATTATTCCCTGCCTATTAATCACTACCTCGCACATTCACAGTCACATTTGGCCACATCTTGTACTAATGTTGTCCCCTATTTTATGGTACGATGTGGTCTGTTTGATTGGTATATAAACCCCGTATGTTTGAAATAGATGATTCCATATCTCAGGGGCTCGGATTGGTGTTCTAGACTTAACTGACTGGGTTAGGCGGGAAGTAGGACCGATAAGTACTCTAGACTGCTGATACGGGTTTACACGTCATTGATCCGATCGATAATTCACTGCTCTCTAATTGGCAGTATCGTTAAGTTATACATTAACAGGGCACACAGGTCACAAGTTATAACACAATCTTCCAACGATACATTATAAGTATAATATTTTGCAAGTATGATTTTATATAGAACAAATATAAAGTAATTCTATTTGATATTGTCTAAACTCAATTATAGTTTGTTTGTTTGAAATAATTCTGAGTTGTTCAATAAACAATTCAGGTAAAGATATTTACAGATTGTTAGATTTGAAAATTGTATTATTTATGGAATAGGATATGTTAATATTATGAAAAATTCTTAACAGTGTTGTTGTGACCATATTAGTTTATAAGAATAAAGTGTTGGGTATCAGGTCAAAATTTTGTATTATCACCTCATTTCTATATAGACGATTTGGATTTAGTTTTAAATAAAAATGATTGTATGATCACGAAACAAGTAATTTACAACTATCCGCTACTGAAGTGAATCTATTACTGGGTTATTTTTTTGACTTAATTTCTTTATAAATAGATGATACACATCACGCTTTAATATTATGACGGTATTATCAGAACACCATTTGCCATATTTTTTAGGTTGAGTATATTCATGAAGGTATTTTTTCATAAGTTATTCACGAATAGATTTACAAATATAAGTGATATAGGTGAAACTATTGCTACTTTATTGATCTTTCAACATCAGTAATATGGATAATACCGTTCATTGGTGCCAATTAATCATAATCACATTATTATCAGGATGGGTTTTGTGAAGATTTTTTAGGAATTTCACTGATAGAAATCATGAGTCAATTGAAGCTAGATCACCATGGAAAACCTGGAAGCACTGGACGGCCGTTTCGTCCTGGTATGGGAATCCACAGTAGTGCGCGTTCACGATCCCGCACCCCGCGGGATTAGTCAAGGTGACAAGTTCAATTTATATAGCAATGAAATTAGTGACCAAAATCATGACATAATCAACAATTAGAAAAATATTAAAATTGTTTAATAATAGGGTAGAAGAAATGAAAAAATTTCCTAGTCATTATAAAAATATTGAAAAGATTATGTCTGGCTTATTTAATCATCAATCGACTAATCAGCGATAACAGAGAGAGGACAACGTAACAAAGCCAAATTAATAAAAGTCCCAGTCAGAAACTTAGAAACTTTTGTTAGCTTAAAAGTCTGTTTACCAGATGTTAAATCACAATTTTCGGTGTTCCATATTGAATTTCAAACTCCTTTGCAATTAAATCAAATGAGATCAAAGAACAATCAGTTAGTTGTGTCTAAATTCAAGTAGTTTCATGGCCAGTTTCATTATCAGATATTAACTTTATTCATTAACATAAAGTTTTATATGATAATTAATGTTGGATTGAGAAAAAGAAAAAAGTTTTAAAAATATCTTACTTTATGAAAAATAAATTTATTAATAATGAATAGTTGATTAGTCAATTCACCTGATAAATCGACTTTTCCGAACTTAGAGCAATTTCAAATGCTTCTTCAAGATCATTTAATTCAGTTTTCTGAAGTGCTCTTAAATCCATAAATTCTATTCGGCCACCACGTTTGTTCTGATATTTGGCCAATTTCTCTGCATGTTCACGTTCTTCATGTGAAGCTTTTCGAAAGAATTCAGCTGCTTTCGGAAATGATATATCATCACGATCGAAATAAGTGAAGAATGCCATATGATCATAAGCAGCCTGCAATTCCACATTGATTTGTTTATTGATGGCATCTTCACATTCTTTGGCGAAATTCTGTCGGACAATTGATATTTTCATCATCATTAAGAAAATAGAGATGTAAGTGATTAGAATATTGAATGAGTATAATATTGAATTATCAATATACAGTTTAACATTTATAGTTGCATCAATGACCTTGTTTCACTTCTCATCAAATAACAAAAGTTTTCATCATTTTTATAATCATTAATACTGTTAAACATATAAAGTGAATCCATGAAAATAATATCCTGATAGTGATGAAAAAAAGGTTTTATAACTAAAATAGGTCAGTAAACAGTGTATTTTATAAACAATCATAAGTTAATCTTTCCGTTATTTTACCACAACTTTTATGAATACATATATATGAAATTTGTACATGAATACACTGTAATAACTAATCAATATAAATAATATTTACCAAGACAATATGGTTGAAAAAAGCTTTTTGATTGAGATCATGAACCGATTGATGTTAGACCACCGTTGGAAACCTGTGAGCAATGGACGGCCGTTTCATCCTATTGTGGGACTCCTTAGAAGTGCGCATCTACGATCCCGCTCGCGAGATTCGAAGCCAGGGCCTTCAGTCATGCTCATTATCTCAATCTAAAACTTAATATTCTCCACAAACCTTATAGTGATAACTACTATGTGCTCACTAGTGACTAGCTTCGTGAGGGAATTCTCGGTGTTCTAGTGAGAAGCCGTGACCAGTGGAGCTAATCCATGTCGGGTAGAGATAGGTATCTACCTCAGTACAGTGGAAGATGGTCGCGCAATTCCGTGGATTGGTTGATTTTAAACACGAACACCATTGGATGCCAGCTTAGTGGTCCAATAAGTTAAGCGTTCGCGCGAAACTGAAGGCTCTGGGTTCGAATCTCGCGAGCGGGATCGTAGATGCGCACTTCTAAGGAGTCCCACAATAGGATGAAACGGCCGTCCATTGCTCACAGGTTTCCAACGGTGGTCTAACATCAATCGGTTCATGATCTCAATCAAAAACTTAGTAATCTCCACAACCCCTATACTGATTAAAAAAATTTGTTTCATGGAAATAATTCAAAATTATTTTACTTTATAAAACTGGTAGATTATTTAGAATTACTACAAACTATACAATATCAGATATATGTTTTATTTCCACTTAGAACTCTTCAACGATATTATTCTGTCAGTTCAACTTACAGTATACTGATTGAGTGATTATCATATTTATACTAAGTAAACCAACTACTTTAAGATACCTTTATTCTCAAATGCTATGAATTGACAGTTACATTAATATGCATGTTTATAATAGGAATGAATTTAAGTTACGGAAAGTATTTAAACTCCGTAATATAATTAACTTTGCCTTGATGACATAACGATAACGTAGATTTTACAAGACCTCTCTAATGAACAAGTGGTAGGTTCAATGAATCACATAGCTTAAAGTATTTAACTACATTTAAAACAATTGTTCCACACTCTACTTTTTCAATGAATAGTGAATGTAATTTAGGAATGCAATAACATCTGTTTCCATTAGTGACTATTTATTAATTAGTGGCTATTTTTCAGGATATTTCTTCTTTAAGGTTTTATATGTACAAACGTGGAGTTCATTTACAATTAACAAACCATTACAGCTCCGTCAGACCACTTTATTATAAAATATATGTTTTATTTATCTACACTGTTAACTTAAAAATGAATCGTAGTTAGATTTGAAATCACATTATCTTACAGACTAATAGCCTGAAGTATATATATATTTAGGATAACCCATGGATCTGACTCCAGAATCGTACGAATGATTGTTATCGCTTATTCTCGTATATAATCGTCGACTTAATCGCGTTAGCCAATAATGGAATTAAATAAGTCGAATAACGAGAATCCACTTTTGAATACATATACTTTGTATATGAAGCAAATGAAATAGAGCCAAACAAAATGACACGCAGTGAAGATGGCTGGGAAGCCAAGTCATTTTTAGTCAGGCGTTAATCAATATTTATAGGCAGACAAAAATAAGCTACAGACATGTGATGAATGGGAAGGGAAGTGTACACACATGCGCTCATATAAAAACAATGAAGACTGGTAAGCGAATAACTAACAAGGTCAACATATGACTCAATTAAAATGAATACATTGGCTTGTTCGAAAACTAGAATAAGCTATATGGGCTTCAAATAATAACTGAAACTACATATGAATCAGTTAATAGAATTTTCTTAGGAAAATTTAAGATTTACAGCATCCAGTTAATTTAGTCTTTTTTCTTAATTAAGTATCAATTACCCACTTAGATATAATGCATTATGTTATATTAGCGTTCACCTGGAATCAAGAGCGATCAGAAACAACAACACAACAGTCAAGACTGGTAAATGTGTAGTGGCATTGGGCCCTAATACGAGACAATGTGGGAAATAGACATACAACATTTATACGGAGAAAAACCGAACGATAAAGAGGGCGGGAAGAATGAGTTGAATTAATAGGAGTTGATCGTATGCCATGGCTCGGCCATGCAGCCGTGGTGCCTGATGAATGTTACCTTATATCTTTCATTCACGTTAAATATATTATCCTATCTCTAGCCTAAGTTTGTTCTCTATCGTGTATTGGTAATTGTTACAATGTAGTGAGTTGGTGTAGACGATGATGTGAATTCCACGTAAGATCTTATAGATTAGGCAGTTACATCATGACAAATCTACAATCATAGGATTAGGTCTATTATTAGAGAAGTACTAATATCATAGTAGACCATAGTTATTCAAATGCATCTGAAGTAAGAACACAGCGTACTGGTACAACAGATATATTTTAAAAATTGAAAGCAGCGTTTTGAGTGCAAAAAGGGAAGCTTATCACGAAATGGATTTATTCATTGTTCCGCAGGATCAGCTTACGTATGGCTTGTTCTTCTTTGCTGCGCTGCCATAAAGAAAACAAACTCACATTAGTAATGTCACATGTAATGATTTTTAATACCGTTACAATAGGTCAATAATTAATGTTCAATTCCGAGCAATACAAAATTAAATAACCAGTGACTCACTGAAATAAATAACGTTTCAAGTAAACTCTATAAACCCATACTGGGTATTTGTCATCAAAACTTTCATTGCTAACCGAAACTAAATTAGCTATACATGTAAGACAAATAATTGCATTACGAAATTACAATAACTCTGAGTAAAATACAGAAATCATACATTCATTAGTTCATTTGCAAATCTCCATGTGGAGATATGACTGACCAGCTTATTTCGTAAATAGTTTTTAATATTACTTGTATTTATTTTTTCAACCTTCCACTGTATGTATATTTAACATTAAATGACTGTAACTGTTGTTTTAATAAATGACCTTGAACACACTTTTCCGTTGTGCAACCACATAGCGTGACATACTCTTGTTGGTTAACAAACACACTACTACTCACACATTCCTCGTTCCATATTCGTTTGTGATTGATTTAACGGAAGTCTAAATCAAATATCATCATCATTTATAGACTGTAATTGGAATATATCACATTCTACGTTGTATCATATATCACTGGAAAGTTCGTCAACCCGGTCAGAATCACCAAGCATTTATAATTGTGGATTTACAATACTGGACCCATTCAGAACACGCAACATTTGTTCATTTCAAGTGACGTTCTAAATTTCGACTGTATTTGTAATAATTAACTTATATATATTAACAGTTCTATTGATCTTTATTAACTTTGTTGATACTTTTTGCGTTTATATATCGTCTGATCGTCCACATCCATCATTTGTCCTTCACATTCCTTACGATTCTTCCAATTTACAATTCCTTTCTTATTGTGGGTCTATTTTCTTTTATTCGACTCCATAGCCTTCTACCGACAAGGTTTTGACTTCCCATCTGTGATACATACTGCATGTTTCGACGGACAAACCAGGCCACCGATAATCGACACAGAAACGCGTCCAGTGAGATAAAGTCTTAACATTATTTCTAGATAGTCTGTTGATGCCAACATAATGATCTACTCAACAAAACGACTTAGGTTTGTTAAAATTTAGTACCTATGTCTTCATCTTGTAGCGGTTAATAAATCTTCAAAATAAATAGCTCTGTAAGTTTTCGACAATGGATGCTGACCATATGTTTTAGTGGACTCATCTAGCTGAAGGCGCTCTGATTAGATCAGACAATTCCGAAATATTGGTAATCGCCGAATACACTCTTCCGATCTCCTCGATTCTGTCTTTCGATTTCTCTCAGTGGGAACAAATTATATTAGAAGCTGTTACTGGTAGAAGCGTTGTCAAACACTGAGTACCTGTATTATCCTCAATCTACTTCATTTATACGCAGACGAAGATTATCTTCTGAACCAAATAAATGAGAAAATATTTTGAATTTTTAATCTAATTTGCATGAGTACTTTTCACATTAAATCAACTTTTTATAAGTATCTTCTAACAGATTGAACGGAGAGAATGAAAAAGTGTTTCTGGGCGGAAGCTTTCGCCTAACTGGCTTCCATATATAGCCGCACACTATGGAACAGAAATGCGTGTCTCCCAAAAATAGTTAGTCTTCGCACATATATAGACTGTCCTTTGCTCATACAAAAAATAATTTGCTTTTTTTTCACCAAGATTGTGTTTGTTATGCTATACTAATCATACAATCACAGTGACCTTGACCGTTCAGAGGCTAGTACAGGTGTGGTTCGGAGATTTATGTTAGTTCTAATCTTGACATTTTTTTTGTTATAAAACCGCTTAATCATTTTCGAAAATAACTCTCGAAGAGGTGTGAGATTTGGTTGGACATTTAATTAGGTCCTAGGACAGACCTGATTACAATTGAAGTCGGCTTAAATTCATCAATATTAACTGTGGTCAATGCAGTCTTTACTACCGCTACTAGAAGTCGACATTTGAAGTTTTACCATCGTACTCCAGTGGATTTCCTCAAACTTGTTAGAAATTCTGGCCAGTGATTGAGCAAAACCTGAAATTTTTCAAGCGTTTTGTGGTTTTCCCTCAAGTCACTTTGAGGAAAAC